AAGCATTCAAACCTGCTACATGGCATAAAGCTAATGTGTTGTCATCATATAGAGACTGTCTTTGTACATCAGCATAACTGCCCCCTCTAAGAAGCTGATCTTGTGAGATTTTAATACCTCTGGCCTTGCTTTGTTGTTCAATGATCCTTGCCTAATCTTTCTACCAGGTCCTCCACTGTAACTGAGGACCAGGCTCCAATATTGCTGTAGCCAAGTCTTTCCAGTCTTGTGGGACAATTAAGTTACTAGTTGAGCATGAATTTAACTTCTGCTTCACAAAAGGCAAATGCAAATCATCTGAGACTATCAGGTCCTTAAATCTCCTTAAATCTAACATTTCTACAGGAATCCAGTCAGCTCTTACACAGCTTTGGGGATATCTGTCATTTGGCACTTTCTGTGAGGTGACTGGATAAATTAAGTTTGGTTGTTTGAAAACCTTAGGCTTTTCCTGCTTAATTTTATAATGTAATGGTGAGACTGGTTCTCCTTTAAATTCCTCTGTCTGCATCTGAATCTCTATGGTGCATTTTAATAAGTTTTTCTAAGGCCTGTATCTTGGTACTCACATTAACCAAATTTTTTAGAGATATAACAAGAATTATCAAACTAATGATAAAGATTATCAAAATGATAATTAACATTATGTCAATCCCAGTTAAGTTGATTATCCCTTCATTTAATTGTTCCATTTTTAAACCATGCCTGTGTGATCATACAGAGACCTAATTCTCTCCATCATAATAGTGTTTCCCATTTTTTTTAACATGGGGAAATAACTCTTTTTTTTTTAAACTAATTCCTCCTTTAAGAATCTTCAGTTGTCTCACCAAATCTGCTGACAATGACAGTGAAGATGATGGTGAAGGGTGAAGCAGACTGCTGCTGTGTAGAACAGGAAAAGCCTGAGTGCAGCAATGGCCCAAGGAGGGGGTCCAGGGAAAGCCCATAACCCACTGGGAGAGAGGAAGCCAAGGGGCCAGTTGTCTGCAAGGGGCAATGAGCAAAAGCAGCTAACTCCAGCAGTGATTGAAGCCCAAGCTCCTGTCGAGTTTGCTGCAGAGAGGCTCCAAACTCACTCAAAGGCTTGGAGTAAAAAGAAAGAAAAACCTAGGGCTGTAACTCTTATGGCAGCCCCTGCATGCAGCTCTGTCATGTGCTGGTGGCTGCAAAGCCACAGGCAATGAACTTTTTTGTTAATTCATGCCCCAAAAGTGGGATGCTAGATTATGCACCACCCTAATTAGTCTTGATAAATCAAAACCTGGAGTCAGATACTGAGGGTGAAAGCTGAAAGATAAGAGAAGCACAGCAGTCACTGTCTCCTCTTACCTCCCGGACTCCTCAGACACAAAAGGGCTGAGCTCGTCTTTGCCCACCTTATATTCCTCTCTCCATTCAATCATATCACTTCCTGTCTCCTGCTGGTACAGACCTCCAGACCTCTATGGTTAACCAATGCCTAGTGCCACCCTCTGATCTTCAAGTAAGCTTTGTTTGTTAGAACACAAACAAAATGTCATCACAGGTACACATGCAAAATTGAACACTGCCCCACTGTAAATGAAATCCTACTGTTTTCAACAATGAGATAGAACTGATGATTTTTCTGTCAAATACAATGAACAAACAACAGGAATATACACACTTCATGATATTATAGAACTAAAAACAATCAGGAGATCTTGCAGAAGTTTACATGACAACAGTTATTACAAAAACCTGGGAAAATTAGGGATGATTGATATAGGTTTAGATAAAGCAAGTTTGTTAAAGTTACATAAAATTAAGAAACTTTGATAGGCTTGCATTGAATACTAGTTTTAAATAACAAATTTTTGTACATCTCAAAAAGCTAGAAGAAAGGATTTTGAAAGTTTTATCATGAATGTTTGGGGATACATGTCTTTAGTATTAATATTTTGTATATAAATTATATGAATAGTATATTGCATAGCATATCATTAATATGAAATATTAATCTTTTATATATACTGAAGAAACTGTTAGCAATTTTTGTATGTCAGTTGTGGTGGTATATATTTAATCTAAGCACATAGGTTATCATTTCCCTGAATTCCAAGCTAACCAGTGCGCTCCAGTATAAGACTGTTTCAAAACAATAACAACAAAATAAAACCCAACAAAACTATTATTTTTTTATTCTTTAGAATAATATTTATCTAATAAGAATTAACAGGATTAAAATCCCTGAAAGAGAATTCACAATAATGATAATATGTCTCTGAAAAGACACAAATAGCTGAAGGAAATAATGAAGGTAATGCATGGTACGAAAGAATGAATAAATAGATGAGAAATATTGTAGAAAATTCATTCTTCAATGGATTACATAAAAAAGTAGGTAAAATAAAATGGACCATGAAAGCACAGACTGTCTGATCCTGAAGACAATGTAGAGGAACTGGTACATATCCAATAGTATCAAAGATAAGGTAATAAGTTACCAAGGGGGATTCTATGATAAGGATGATTTTCTGAAAAGACTAGCTTCAAGGATCAAAAACATAGGGGAAGGAGAATCTTCTTTTAATGGCATACAAAATATATAAAAAAGATTTCTAACAGAATTTTCAAGACTTAGGAAAAGAGATGCCAACTCAGATACCAGAGAGATTGAGGACACCAAAGTAACACAGCCAGAAATTATAACTAAAATGCTCAATAAAAAGGAAGCATATTAAGTACATAAACACCAGGTCACATAAGCCCATCAAAATAATATCATATTGCTCAACTAAAATTTGAATAGCCAGAAAGAGCTAGAATAGTGTATTTCAAGTTTTAAATAATAACTGACAACCCAGAACACTATACCCAACAAAGTTGTTTGTGATAATTGAAGTAAAAAATAAGAATTTTACATGCTAAAAACAGACAAAAAGTTCAGAACACTAACAAATCAATATAGAAATTAATTGAAGGAATCTTACAAATTGAAGAGAAAAAATAAATCCACTAATGAGGCAGGCCATAGGTAAGAGTAAAGCAACCCAGAGAAATACACTGAAAGACCCCCAGGGAATAAATCTAAACATGGATATAACTTGTTAAGGAAAACTTTAACAAACTGAAAAAAATTGATGAAGACATCACATATGGAATAATTCCACCTCCTGATTTGAAATAACCAGTGTTGACAGTAATCTAATGAGTCAGTGAAATTCCAATAAAAATTCCAGTGAATGAAGTAGCTCAACATAGACCTGACACTCTAAAATTTCTGGAAAAAAAAAGTATGGATCACATTTCAAGGTAAAAACAACATAGGTAAGAACTGTCTGAATAATTCTCCAGTCACTTAAGAATTAAAGTCAATAATCAACAAAATACATTTCCTGTAATCCCAAATATGTTGTGCAGTAAAAAAACTGTGAATCAAATGAAGAAACACCATACTGAAGAGGATAAAACCTTTACCAGTTATAAATCTGACAGTGGATCAGTATCTAGAACACAAAAAGGATACAAAAGGATGAACACCAAGAAAAATATACCCAATTATAAAATAGCCATGGAACTGGACAGGGGGGTTTCCAAAGAAGAAATACAAATGTTTAAAGAACTTTGGAAAAAGTGTTCAACATCACTAACTATCAGGGAAATATAAACTTTAACTATTTTAATATTCCATCTCAGCCATGTCAGAAAAAGTACCATCAAGAAAACAAAATACAACAAATGAGGAGGAAGTTATAGGGTGAAAGAAAGGTTTATCCTCTTTTGCTAGTGGTATGCCAACCACTATGGAAGTTGGAGTGGAAATTTTTCAAAACCAAAAATAGACATACCATATTATCCAGTTAGGCTTCTTGTGGACATATATCCAAATGACTTATATCCTTCCACAGAGGGACTTGAGCTCCCTTGGTTATTGCTGTTCTGTTCATAACAGCTAGGAAATAGAATCACCCTGCATGTCCACAAACTGATGAATAGACGATGATGATATTGCACCAATACACAACTGAACTTTATTCAGCTGTGAGGAAAAATTCAATTTCCCTTCTTCTTGGATACACACTAGAACTAGATGGTAAGACTCTATTCCTAAAGACATGACAAACTCTGGATGCAGGACATAAAAAAATAATGCTGGAACTGACAAAATACTACTTCCCTGCTTCCTGGCATCACAGTGCCAGAAGGTAGAATGTGGCTAGGGGAAGAAAGAGCGTTGATCCTGCATCTGAAACCAACCTAGTACGCCACAATACTGACATCCTGACAAGATGTACTCACTGGTGCAGTGATGGCAAAACAGTCTGGGCGGTATCCAACTGCTCTTCCATTCGATTTGCAGCACACACTATAGGAAGGAATTCGGTTCTTGCACTGTGAACCTGGTCAAAAGCCCATGTCTCTGTAGGAACAGGTTCCCAAGAGGAATCAAGTGTTGGTTTGTGTTTGCTTTTTTAAATTATCTTAAGCTATAAAACCATTTTTGTACACTTATGGTTATGTCTTTAGTGCTAATCTCAATTTTGTGCAGAGATTAACTTATCTTGTCAACATGAGGAAAATAAGTCTTTATTTTGCTGTGGGATGTTCTGTATAGCAAATGTGTTGCTAATTAGTCAATAAATAAAATACTGATTGACCATTGGCTAGGCAGGAAGTGTAGGCGGGACAAGGAGGACAATAAAGCTGGGAAGTGGAAGGCTGAGTCAGAGAGACACTGCCAGCCACCATGATGAGAAACAGCATGTGAAGATGCCGGTAAGCCACGAGCCATGTGGCAAGGTATAGATTAATGGAAATGGATTAATTTAAGCTGTAAGAACAGTTAGCAAGAAGCCTGCCACGGCCATACAGTTTGTAAGCAATATAAGTCTCTGTGTTTAGTTGGTTGGGTCTGAGAGGCTGTGGGACTGGCAGGTGAGAGAGATTTGTCCTGACTGTGGGCCAGGCAGGAAAACTGTAGCTACATTTTTTAGCAAAGTGTAATACTTATTTTTCCTTCATTTCCTTTTTCACAGAATATATTTTGATCATGTTTGTTTCTGCGCACCCCCTTTCTCTCAGAACCTCCTCACCTTCATACCCACTTCACCGTAAGTAGAACATCCATATCAATCCCCACCTCTAAAGCTCAGGGAGTATTAAGGATGAAGGGTAGAAGAATGTAATAGCTAGAGACTGGGGAGGAGTGCTGTGAAATTTTATCCTTGGGAGTTCACATGACCACTGTACTCATGAATTCACATTAGCTGTGATTATCTACACAAGATTAAGTCAATAAGGTCAATCAACTATCCAAACTGCAGCACTAATTAGACTTAGTGGATTATAAACAACAAGAGAAGATGTGTTTTGAAAGGAGGTTGTTAGGTGGGGTTGGGTGAATTGTTTGCATTATGGAGTTGATATTGTCAAAATTAATAAAAGGTATTCTGTTTAAAAAAACAAATTTATTATCACCTTTTTAAAAAGAATCAAACAGTATTCTTCTGAATTATTTTTTTTAATATAAATATTGATTAAGAGGATATTACAATATTGCTAAGGTCATACTAAAGCTTTCCAAATGCTTAATCAGCATTTGTAGAAGAAGCTGAGAATTCATTAATGGTCACATCATGATCTGGTGTTATTTAATGATGAGTCATCCATTTTTCAATTGCCAAAAGCAGAGGCTTATAAGGAAGAAGAAAGTTGCTTGAGAGACCAAAATAATTGTTTCTATAAGAATTTTGAGACAAAAATAGTTGGCTAGAAGAAGAAAAAGGAAAGAAAAAAAAAAAAACAAGCGAATCATTAACTTCTGCAGATCATTGATTTGATGGATAGATGATAGTGATCTTTAAGGACTGACTTATAAAAATTTAGCTGGTTGGAATCAAACTTTACATAGTTTTCTATTTATTCTCCTTCAGTTTCACTGCAGTGAAAGGGTTAAGGTCTGCATAGTGCTTTACATTTAATACAGTATGCATTTTCAGTAAACACCATTTTTCCTTCATTTGCAAACTTCAGGTGCCACCAGAATGTAAAGCAATCCCCACAGGAAAAAAAAAATGAATGGGAGATATTTTGAATAAATCTAATGTTTGTTGTACTATCTCTAGTGCCTTTTGCCCCATGGTCCCCTATTTATTTTCTTTATTAAAAAAAAAAAAGATTCAGGATCAAGAAAAAGTACAAAGGAAAACATGTTTTGTCATGCTGAAATAATTTCCTATCTAAAAAATTATATAATGTAAGCTTCAAATGAAGAATGAGCCTCATAAAGAGGCTCAGATGGAGTCTGATTTACCCTGATGAATTTTTAATACCTTGTTATGAGGCTTACAAGGAAGGCAGAGGCTTTCTGCAGAGACTGATAAAGCTACAGGACAGAAGGTAAATGCCAAGTCCAAGGTAATGAAGGATAATTAGTTTCTGAATCTTCACCTTACTGTTTTCTGATACTCTAATAGAATCCAAGACAGGTGAAAACAGAAATGCAGATGGCAATAGAGAAAAATCATTCCCTGTGTTGGTACATTTCAGTTTCCAATTGTTGGCTGAGTTCTATGCTGAAGTTTTCATCCATCTATGATATTTAAAGAAAATGTCTGAATAAGTCACTGGTTGAAATAAGTCAAGGTGAAACCGATGTCCTGAAAGGAAACAAATTAAAATGTGGACAGAGAAAACAGATGCTTGTACACAGGAAGAGAAAATGCTATAACCATACAGAAGTCAAGTGGCTTCATGTGAGGAAGCAGAGACTATATAGGAAGTCAGGTCTAATGATAAAATGACATTGGTCACTCTCCTGTGGGGGAAATACCCAAATGTTTATTGATAAGCCACATAGTCTCTGGTATTTTGTTTTGGCATATTTTGCAAGCTAGCTAAGACATTCCTAGATTCCTTAGGAGGATTTCATCATTTAGGAATTTTTTCTTAACCTAAAAATTATCATGGACCGGTTACATGGTCTAGTTAGAAATGTGTCCTTGTGAGCAAACACAGAACTAAACAATAAAATGTCTTCACTATTGAATCACAAGTAAGTATTTTAAGACACATAAGAATTTCAAAGCACCTTTTCTTAACGTTACACCACACTACACTACAAATTACATTGATATTTTAAACATCTTATCATGTAGGCTATAACACTACAGGGACAATTCTGTTGTATAATTAGGACAGTATTACTATTTTAATGTAAAGCCTAAAATTATAGCCTTTTTCAGCAACAAAAAAAATGATATAATGAAAGATTATTGCTTGCCAGAACAGTATAAATAATTTTTACTGTTAATAATATTGTAACATTATAGATAATAATTTCAGTAGAATAAATAATAGTTTATATAACATCAACATATTAAAAGTATTTTTAAAAATGTAATTCTTATTTTTTCTTTTACCAATTCTGGTAATATATCTTTATGTTGTGTTTTAAATTTTCATAATTTTGCAGCTGTCATAGACAATGAATAAGAAAATAGTGTGGGAAACCTAAAAAAATTGTAATGAAATCATTAACATAGTTTAAAACCATAGTTTAATATTTTTAACTTATGGAATGTGTCCCTGTTTACCCATGCAATTTCAGATGTAAATTAAACAGCTCTGTTTCTAAAGGAAAACACATAGATTGATGGAGAACACTGTAACTTGAGTTTTCCTGCCTGGCCCACAGTCAGGACAAATCTCTGACACCACCAGTCCCACAGCCACTCAAACCCGACCAAGTAAACACAGAGACTTATATTGGTTACAAACTGTATGGCCATGGCAGGCTTCTTGCTAACTGTTCTTACAGCTTAAATTATTCCATTTCCATTAATCTATACCTTGCCACGTGGCTCATGGCTTACCGGTATCTTCACATGCTGTTTCTCAACATGGCGGCTGGCAGTGTCTCTCTCACTCAGCCTTCCACTTCCCAGCTCTATTCTCCTCCTTGTCCCGCCTATACTTCCTGCCTGGCCACGGGCCAATCAGTGTTTTATTTATTGACCAATCAACAACACATTTGACATACAGACCATCCCACAGCAGAACATTTTGATTCTAATTTTGTATAAGATGTCATAACCTCCATCAGAATTAGAACATCTAAAAAATATTTACAAACCATATAAAAATACAACACAATTGTTCTGAAAAGTTAGATGACTCCCTAATAAGCCAGAGATTTGGGCAGGAAATTGAGAGAGTGGGAACTAAGTAATGAGCTGATGCTCTGCCAACTTCTTTCTCTTTGGTTATTTTCCACACAGTGGCACACAAAAGATTAGAGACAGGAAAGATAGAACCATGCACTGTTTCATTTTACAGTACTGCAAATTTGAAAAAAATAAAAGTGAAGACCAGATCTGATGAAGCTACCAGAACTAAAGTGACCACAATCCAGGGAGATGCAGATAAGGAAGAATATAGGTGAATTCAGCACAAACCATAGGGATTATGTAAGCTTTTCTCATCAAAAGAAGCTTAGAACCTGGGCATGCCTTTAATCCAGTACCTGGGAGGCAGAGGCAGGTGGATGTCTGTAAGTTCGAGGCCAACCTGGGCTACAGAGTGAGTTCCAGGAAAGGCACAAAGCTACACAGAGAAACCCTGTCTCAAAAACCAAAAACAAACAAACAAATGGAAGCTTAGAATGGAAAATGCCATAATTTGACATCTGCAAGAACTAAATTGAAATGATAAATATCCATTTCAAAACAATGAATTAAGCCAATGTATAAATGTTATCACTTCTTAGAAACATTTTCCTCTTACATATCAATTTGAAAATTCTGTTTATAAAACCAACTACTTGGGAATTTATGATTTTACATTTTAATGTAATATATACATGTGATTTTATATTGTAATAACATGTTAAGCTTAGATTTAATGTTTAATTATTTTTATAAGAAAAACAATGGCACATTGCAATATGCTTATGTTTGTATATAATCTTATGAATATTCTTGTGGCTCTCATTATCAAATTCAATAGGTTTAGGATTTGATTTGAAGTAATTAACTCAAATATTAGATGGAAAAGTAGTAATATATGAAGGGAACATGTAGCCATAGGTAAAGGAAAAGTACATACTAGAGGTTCTTGACATGTGATCAAATCATGTATGAAACATAAAGGAAAGGGGAAACATTGCAGCTGTTTAACACTGAACCAAGCAGTAAGGTGGATGCAGAACCATCATGAGAACATGGATGCCAAACAACGCCAACTCATAATTTGTTTGTTTTAACAATATGGAATGCAAAAATTTTATAAAGCCCGACTAAATTTGATTAAAAAATTATCTGATGGAGAACTAAGTTTCTTCTTGAAACTGAAGCCAATACAATTTTTACAGATCTATGGGAGGATTATTTTACATGCTTTACCTGATGACATTTTTATCACTAAAATATTTGAAATAGTGTCATTCTAGTAGGTAGTTCAAAGAAACAGATTCAAATGACATGGGTGCTCTCAACCATCTCTTTATTAATCACATGCACGTGCATTCATGATTTTTTTTTTATAAAAAGACATCTGTTTAGTTACATCAGTTTTTTATTCTATTATTTTGTGAATGATAAGTTTTAGACATATTAATTTAAATAGGTTCACCCAAGGATGACACTAAAACATGCTAGAGTGTATGTAGGAAGTCTCAGAGAGCATTAATCCTACATAAAGGCAACTAAGGAATTCTGAGAGCTGAAGAAATAGTCATTTTCCCAGGAAAAGCACTCTAATTGGTTATCCAGTATCAAATTGTGGGCCCTTGAAACATACAAACAGGTACTATATAAAAACTGAACAGATTACATTTAGGCATGCATAGGCATATACATCTATGCATATAATAACAGTGAATAGAAATAGGTCACATATTTGAAAGAGCATGGAGAGGTGTATAGGAAGGTTTTTAAAGAGGAAAGGGAAGGAAGAAATACAACTAACTCTATTACAATCTCAGAAAAATAATTTACAATCAAAATAATTAATGAACTTTTAAGTTTATATATGATCCAAGTGTTGAAAAAGTAGTAGAAAAATGAATACTTCAAATTCCAAGAACTCATTTTATTATGTTAAGTAAATCACT